TAAAGACAAATTTTCGTAATACATATGTTGACCTTTCATTATTTACAGCAAACATTGCTTTTTTTTGAGAGAGAGAGAGAAATTCGTGGTTCGGTTCACGGAAAACCAATTGAAGGTGGCGAGGGAAGACTGCGCAGCCTCAGACTAACTTCACGAATAGTCGACTAAATGTTTCGTGAGAGTGAACCCCAGCTCATCATGTGGGTAAACCTGTAAGACAGTGATGAATAAAAAGAAGACTGTAAACAGAGTACCACTAAGGGAAAAAAAATTATAAAAACAGAAAATGGACATACGGATAACCATTACCCAAAAACTTTACCTAGAGGTGCAGGGAAGTAAAAAAAAAAAATCCGGCAAAGTTTGCAGACTGTAAGAGTGACATTCAGAACTTTAAAAATAAATCCTTCGGTACACTACTGCATATTTTGTTGCAGGCCATACCACGGGTGGGGTTAGAACCCGCGAGCAGAGAGTCTCAAAACTCCAGACCGTCGCGTTAGCCACTTGGCCAGCTAGAGGGGACTTGAGCTAGAGTTCGTCACGGCCACGCTAGCTGGAGATTCAACTGTAAAAACTTGCATTTGTGGTCACAATGGTGCTATGCTAACCTTCCTATGGTGTAGAAATATACCTAGTTGAATGAGTCTTATTGTGGCTAGCTGGCCCAGTGGCTAACGTGACGGTCTGGAGTTTCGAGACTCTCTGATCGCGGGTTCTAATCCCGCCCGTGGTATGGTTTGTTTGCAATCGTGTCATTACGCTTTCATGAGTCAGTTTTGTTGCAGGACGTGAAAAGGGAGCAATGAGGCAGAGCTGCAAGTTGAAGGCCCAGATGAGCCTTAAGGATATCAAAGAGGCACTTCTTCAATTTAGAAGTAGTAGAGAAATGAGACTGAGCATTGACACAGTGGAAGCAAACTCCATACAAGGGTTTAAAAATAAATGTGACGAGGTTATTGCACTCTAGTTGGTCGTAAGAAGAGGCACGATCAAGACCCCTTTCGTTCTCTCTCTCTCTCTCTCTCTCTCTCTCTCTCTCTCTCTCTCTCTCTCTCTCTCTCTCTCTCTCTCTCTCTCTCTTTCAAACACACACACACAAGAGCTGTGAATCGACTCCTGTAACATGTAGGTGAACACATACACACACACTAGTATACCCGCACACACGCATATGAGCGTGCACACACACACTATTACTACTACTACTACTACTACTACTACTACTATTTCTTGTAAATGTGAATTACATGACAGAAGAGTTAGAGGTGTCCCTGTTCGGAGACGTCGTGAAATTAATGAGGAGAATACTAGAGATCTGGACAGGCTGCAACCCTAGTCCAACAAATGGTTCCAGGAGTTTAACCCCACCAAGTGCAAAGTCATGACACATGGGGAAGGACAAAAAAAATTGCAGACGGAGTACAGGCTCAGGAATCAATGGCTGCAAACCTCACTCAAGGAAAATGATCTTGGGGTGAGTGCTATACTGAGGACATCTCCTAAGGCGCACATCAACCAAATAACTGCTGCAACATACGGGCGCCTGGCAAACCTAAGAATAGCGTTTCTGCATCTAAGGAGTAATTCGTGACACTACACCGTATACGTAATTCCAATATTAGGGTATACAGCACCAGTATTGAACCCACACCTGGTCAGGCACGTCAAGAAATTGGAGAAAGTGCAAAAGTTTGCAACAAGACAAGTCCCGAAACTAAGGGGTATGTCCTATGAGGAGAAGTTAAGGGAACTCAGCTTGATGGCACTGGAGGACAGGAAGAATAGGAGGAACATGATAATGACGTATAAAATACTGAGAGGAATTGACAAGATGGACTGAGTCAGAATGTTTCAGAGATGTGATACAGGAACATTAGGACAACTGGAAGTTGAAAACTCAGATGAATCATAGGGTTGTTAAGAAGTACTTCTTCAGCCTTAGAATTGTCAGGAAGTGTAACAATCCGGATAGTGAAGCAGTAGAGGAAGGATCCATACATAGCTTTAAGAAAAGGTGCGATAAGGCTCTTGGAGCCGGGAGAGAGTGGTCCTAGTAGCTACCAGGGAAGAGGCGGTGACAGGAGCTGTGAATCAATCCCTGCAACCACAAATAGATGAACTCAAATAGGTGAGTACACACACCGCCTTGTGAGCACATTTACTGTGGTTCTGTCATCGGACGAGACCCACCAAGAGTGACACTTCGATGCTAGCAACGTATTCTTGAACCACGAGGCTGCAGCTCTCCCGTCTCCCAGGAGCTGCAGCTCTCCCGCCTCCCAGGAGCTGCATGACTCCCTACGAGTTTTGAGGCTTCACCATGAAAATAGTGTGACGTTAAGTCAAGTAAAGATTACAGTTCTCTGTAACAAGCTGTTAGCGAAACAGGAGTCCAATCTATGTAATCAGGCAGACCGGCTCAAACAAGCTCTCTGTATGCTATACAATACAGACAAGATGAAGACTCGGACACATCAGCAGCATCTGGGTATCTTTATTGCAGACGTTTCGCCATCCAGTGGCTTTATCAGTTCAAGGACATAGAGAAAGACAGTGGAACTATATACCAAAGATGAGGTAATCAGTCCCTCAACTGAGGGACTGATTACCTCGTCTTTTGTGCATAGTTCTACTGGCTTCCAATTAAGTCCTTGAATTTGTATTGATGAAGCCACTGGATGGAGAAACGTCTACAATAAAGATACCCAGATGTTGCTGATGTGTCCGAGTCTTCACAACTTTCTGTGTACAGTTGCATCATTATTCGATGTAGTTCTGTATCAAATGGCGACTTGAAAAAAAAATCTGTACACCTGTTTTATGTTGTAAAATAGCTTGCTTTCAGACAGCTATTTACGACGTAAACGTGGTTATTACTTGGGATGACTGAGAAAGATAGAGACTAAACCAAGCGAGCCCAGGAGCTGCAATTCAACCCCAGAAAACTCCGCTAATTAAATACACACACTTCCTTCCTTTCCCTCTTTCCTTCATTTACATTCCCTGCCTTCTCTAAGCAGCTATCCTTCCTGTAAATTTAGATTATAGAAACAGTCTTTTTGCACTATGTAACTATCGTTTGGAATTCAGTAGCAGCACACTGCAGATATATCCATTTTTTACAAATAAAAACGTACATAAGCCATTTTTTATGTCAGAAATTCATTTCGATTTTGTGGCTTTACCTTATTATCTTCCCGATATTTCCAGCTTCTTGAGAGACTTCTTCCTCCTTGACTCTCTTGCAACAAATGTTGCAAGAGAGAGAACCAGGTCCGAGTATTATAAGTCATACCCACATACAAACTACATTGTAATGTTTTCTCACTAAATGTAAGCATAAACATCTAATTACGACTGTTACCAGATCGTAAATTTGTATATTGTTCATTATCATTGCGACCTGATTACCTGTCATAACCCTGGAGCCCAGTCCCTGGACCCATTACTCGCCTCTGTAATCCTTTTGACTGCCGCTCACAGCCTGGGCATCCCCTGCATAATAAGGCTATTCAGTTAACGGGACTGAACATCTGCAGTAGTGAGGATTGTCTAGCAGAAGAAGAGCATCGTGCCACTGAATCGATTTGACTCCAAACCGACTTGGTTTTGTTTTTAATAGCACAAATGATGTACCTCGGTATCATAGATGTGGGAGTCTGCCATCTCTGTTTTGCTTGTCAGATTCACCATTCTAAGGAATCTAAGATGATTCTAGAGAGCTTAAAGTGTGTTAATATTAAGTAGTGATTCTCTAGAGAATTAAGGCTTTTTACTTTTGGAATGAAGGACTGTCGCGATAAAAACTAAAGATCTTCATTAAATCACCATTCTCAAGGGATTAGGTCATAGTACTGAAGAGGTCATGTTGCATTATTCTCGTAAAAAAAATTAAATTGCCATCGTTCACCAGTCATTTCATCGTTCTTATAGAGGTCAACGCGACAGTCGCAAAAGGTTAAGTCGTCTTACACACACAAGTGGTTAAGCCATCCCGCTCAAGAGGCTGGATCATAATACTCCAAAGAGGCTGTCATTATAATTAGAGCTGGGTCACTGTTCAAGATGATGATTAAGAGCTCTTCAGCGGCCACCAGCCAGCTGTTGGGGGTAAAGAAGAGCAAGATGCTCTTTATTTCATTAGAGAGCAGTGTTTTTCGCTGGAAATAAAACATCTTGCACATTTTTTGAGGACTCGTGGCTCGAGGACTCGCTGCACTTGTCACAAATACCACACGGGGTACTGGGAGGGTATGACCCACATGGAGAAGGGAAAAAAAAAAACAGAAAATTAAAGTTTGCCCTCTTCTTTATCAGAAGAGGATCTCAGTGAGAGACTGAAATATGTAAACTTTCGTTCCTGCTGTTGCCTCTGTGTGAGTTATGTCCTTCCACTTACAAGGATTTAGTATGCTTTGACTCATCATCATGATGGTTATTATTAGGCAAAGAATTACCTAAACTTCAGGCATTCAACCTGTCTCTTGTTACTACGTTGCATTCTTCTGTTTTTTCCCGTCCAATTTGAGATAGACATAGTTAATTTTCTGTCCATAAACACTCTCAAATAAGAGTTTTTCGATGCTGTAGAATCGCTTTTTTTTAATGTATATTTTTGTAATACGCTTTTCTTCGTTTCATTCTCTGCTTGACCTCATCTGGCATGAGTAGCAAGAAATGTTTGTAGTTCTAACTGTATCTGATAATTTATTGTTCACTGGAGTCGCTAGAACGTGACTTTTCTTTGCTTCGTCTGACATTATCTCCCGGCTGGCATTCTTGCACACCTTGAGGTAACCCAAGACCACCCGAAGAACAGGGGGAAGAACATGAGGGGGGCATCCCGAAGGACACTAAATGAGGACAATACAAGGGACACAGAACGAGAGGGAAGCGTAAGAGGGACAACGTGAGGTGGACATCGTAAGGGGGACAATATGAGGGGGGGTCACAACATGAGGGAATAACATGAGGTGGCCAAGATAAAGATTACTCACCTGCGTCCACATGCCGGTAGATCCAGGCCCATATGAGTCCTTGCAGTATGAGGCGCAGACGCTGGGCCCTGTCCATGGTGGCAGAGAGGCTCTCTCCGATGTTAGAGCTAACCTCGCCACGGCCGCATAGCGCTGCCCCTCCCTCACTTGTTCCTCACCATGACAGGACCCGATATGCCGGTCCTCCCTACCCTGCCAGCCGCGCCCACGACCCTCTGACTGCCCCGGCCCAACCTGTCGTGCTGCCCTCCTAGCACGCCCACGCCCACGCTCTCCTTTCCCTAAGACGACTTCGATGCTCTCTTGGTCTGAGTTCTGCCCCAGAGGGAGTGAGGTCGCAAAAGACGAGAAAATCTCAGTGGTGGTGGAGAGGGGTGAAGGAAGACGGGTTGGAGGTTTGGGTTGGTCGTGCGAGTGGCAGCGAAGTGGAGGGAGGGCCACGGTGGCACTGGGCATGAGTGCCACACCTGCACCGCCCAGCTGCCTCGCCCACTCCCTCGCCTGCCACCTCCTGCTGCCATCTTCACGTACCACCACTCTCTTACTCCTCTCTGCTGTTGTCTTTCTCATCCCTTACCAGTTTCTCTCAGGCTCTTGTTTCACCTTCCTTGATGCTGGTTAAGGGATCTTGATCCCAGAAATTGTAACTTCCTTCCTCTTCCCTGGATGGAATCTGCTTCCCTCCTATTTCCATGGCACTTTACGACCCTCATAGACTGAACACTCCTCATGAATCTCCCTCATGGAAGTTCCTTGAATGTTAGATGAGGGGCTCTTGAATATAAAATTGGATCTTGCCATTCCGAATTAAGCTGAATGCTCTCACATCCCCCTCCTTCCTGCGCTGAAACCAGGTTAGCGCTCCCCTTGATTATAATAAATAATGAATTATGATCCTCTGAACTATAATAATAATAATAATAATAAATACTGTATGTATCAACGACTCTTCCTCAAACTTAAGAAAGCATAAATGATTACTGGAGTTCAGCAAGAATAAGTAAAAAAAATATGGCTTGATGCCTATTTCTGGCCTTTAAGAAAGCTTAGAAGCGACTCGGAAAGTGTTTACCAATAGAGACAAGCAAAGCGAAGTGAAAAGAGTACCAATGGATCAAGAATATCCAAAGACCAGGAGAAAAAGAGAGGGAGAGATTTAGATTTTAGATTTTGCCACCGAAGTGGCTAATTTATTGTGCATCCCATATCCATCCTGTGGACGGTAGCGCAAGAGCATATGGACACACAAAAGGCCTAGTAACTATGCCCCGAAAGGGTTAACAGGTGTACATTTGGAGAAAGAGAGGGGGAGAGAGAGTGGTTTTAGAAGAAAATACATGGAAAAGGGTTACAAGCGAGGTTCCCCAGGGGTCCGTGCTAGAACATTCACTGTTTCTGGTGAGGATAATTGATCAAGCAGACGAGAAGATGTAGACTTAATGAATACGAATGTAGTTGTAGGTGGCCATGTTAGTTGAAGACTCGCGTAGATTATAACAAGGATCAAGCAGTTGTCTGCTCTGATTTGTATGTAATAAATGCATAATTAAACAAATCTATGAGAATAAAAGATGAGAAAGAATGGAACTCAACTGAATGAAGAACCTAAACATTACCTACATACCAAACATCTCACCGGAGCAACATACTACATAACACTGACAACGTATGCAAAGCTGGACAACCTAAGAAGAGCCTTCTAGAATTTTCTTGCTTATACTATACGTGAAGTGTTATACCCGTGTGGGTCATTCAGCGCGAGGAGTGCTGGAGTCTCTATCCTCCTTCCTCTAATCCTAAGACGGAAGCACTTAGCCAGCCAGGCTAAAGGGAAGACTGTAATCTAAACTAAGATTCTTATAACGCATTGTGCATCATATATCTGAAGTTAATCCCATAGTATGCAGCACCAGCATAGAGCCAACTTCTGGTCTCGCATGCCTACACACACACACACACACACACACACACACACACACACACACACACACACACACACACACACACACACACACACACACACACACACACACACACACACACACATATGTGAACGACATGATGGAAGGAATAGACTCTGAAGTGTCCCTGTTCGCAGATGACGTGAAGTTGATGAGAAGAATTAAATCGGACGAGGATGAGGCAAGACTGCAAAGAGACCTGGACAGGTTGGACATGTGGTCCAACAACTGGCTTCTCGAATTCAATCCAGCCAAATGCAAAGTCATGAAGATTGGGGAGGGGCAAAGAAGACCGCAGACAGAGTATAGGCTAGGTGGACAAAGACTACAGACCTCACTCAGGGAGAAAGACCTTGGGGTGACCATAACACCGAGCACATCACCGGAGGCACACATCAACCAAATAACTGCTGCAGCATACGGGCGCCTGGCAAACCTGAGAATAGCGTTCCGATACCTTAATAAGGAATCGTTCAAGACACTGTACACTGTGTATGTTAGGCCCATACTGGAGTATGCAGCACCAGTCTGGAACCCACACCTGGTCAAGCACGTCAAGAAGTTAGAGAAAGTACAAAGGTTTGCAACAAGGCTAGTCCCAGAGCTCAAGGGAATGTCGTACGAGGAAAGGTTAAGGGAAATCGGACTGACGACACTGGAGGACAGAAGGGTCAGGGGAGACATGATAACGACATACAAGATACTGCGGGGAATAGACAAGGTGGACAGAGATAGGATGTTCCAGAGAGGGGATGTTCCAGAGAGGGGACACAGGGACAAGGGGTCACAACTGGAAGCTGAAGACTCAGACGAGTCACAGGGACGTTAGGAAGTATTTCTTCAGTCATAGAGTTGTCAGCAAGTGGAATAGCCTAGCAAGTGAAGTAGTGGAGGCAGGAACCATACATAGTTTTAAGAAGAGGTATGACAAAGCTCAGGAAGCAGAGAGAGAGAGGATCCAGTAGCGATCAGTGAAGAGGCGGGGCCAGGAGCTGAGTCTCGACCCCTGCAACCACAATTAGGCGAGTACACACACACACACAAACACAAACATATATATATATATATATATATATATATATATATATATATATATATTATATATATATATATATATATATATATCTGGAGTTTATCTGGAGAGAGTTCCGGGGGTCAACGCCCCCGCGGCCCGGTCTGTGACCAGGCCTCCTTAGGTCAGTGTCCCAGGATGCGACCCACACCAGTCAACTAACACCCAGGTACCCATTTTACTGATGGGGAACATAGACAACAGGTGGAAAGAAACACGTCCAATGTTTCTACTCTGGCTGGGAATCGAACCCAGGCCCTCACCGTGTGAAGCGAGAGCATGTTAAGTTATCCACCTTGTAAAGTGGTGGAATCCTAGTCATTATTTTTAAGACGTGTATGTGTTTATTTCCCATGATGCCGTGGCACTTTCCTCCAGATGAATGAGTTCAAAAAGAGGGATGTAGTGTAGTAAGTGCTGTAATCATTGGAAATTTAAATAAATTACGTGATGAACAAATCATTGAAGACGTGACACCACGATCATAACTCCGATCGTGTAGTTACAAATAGGTAATTACAAATGGACAATTACAGGTTCCCAAGGGGCTCATCGAGAGAGAAGGATAGAGTTATCTGCTACTCCACACCCTTCAGAACCTTCTATATGACCTGGTGATGTGGATCTAAATCTGTTGATATTTACATGTGCAAGAAGACTTAATGTAACAGCTAATTGAAGATTAGGATACTGGGTTATGAGGTTCTTGAAGTTGGTATAAAAGACTCGTGAAAACAGAGAGGGGTTTTATTTATGGGTAAACACGACGTTTCATTCACAGGAAGTGAACTTTTTTTTCCGACTCAGATGATCTTGAGCAACTTCACTACATGTGGACGATAGGCCATGTGCCTCCATAAATGAAAGTTTCTCTGTTTTCTTTGCTCTTTTAATGATTGTTTGTCCTCTCTTGCCTCACTTTGACATTCAGCGTCAACAGTTTCAAGACTCTTGACGTCAAAGTGCCCTGTATCCCGGGGTGGTGGGAGATACTGTGTTCTAACTTGTTGCATTTCCTTTTTTCGCGGATGTTTGACACTCCACTTGGACGATAAGTAAGTTTATGTATGTACAAGTACACATAAAATTATCTTAGCAAGTATTATATGTGTAAATTATCTAGGATAACCCAGAAAGAGTTAGAGTGACTTATTTCCACTGGGGTCCTTGTTATATCCCAGAGTTAGAGAGGAGTTGAAAAATGAGATATTGGTACAACATTCAGGAATCTCTACTGAAGAGTAGCTAACCTCAGCCTCATTCTACCCAAGTTACTTGCAGATCCCCATTAGTTTGAGCGGTGCAGACAGATCTTCATGACTGATCCTGGACAAGAGGCGAGGCTGGCACTATGCAGTGAATCCTTTATGGCGACATTTCGACCAGTACCTGAGGATACTCGATGATGTCCAGCCCTATACGAAGTGTCACATCGAAGGTTTCACTAAACATTCTGTCTCTCTCGCTACCTGTAGGCTAACACCATCGTTCACCCATTTGACATGGTTTGACCTACCCTTCCTTCCTCCCTGCCTCGTCTGCTTAGATTGAACGCTGTTCACCCATCGCCGCAAATCTTATCATTGGAGTCCACACAACAGAGCAGTTATGAATGTCACCAGAACCCACACAACAGAACAACTAGGAATGTCATCAGAGCCCACACAACAGAGGAGTTAGGTAGTTGCTAATGCGTTCCACCAACACTCTACTTCCGTTAACTCCCTGACAAGGCTTCTAAAAGTATATATACTTGATGTAATCCAATCGTATTAAAAAGTCGCCAAAACTCTCACTCGCTGGGACCGGGCTGCAGGGGCGATGCTCCCTCTCCCATCCTTACCAGAATCTACATCCTTCCCAGAATCTGTAGCAGAAGACTTCGTCTTCCGCTACAGACAATCAAGGAACAGAAACATAGACAAGAGGAACTGTATGCTCTTTGCCACGCGTTACACGAGCTGAATGACCCAGACGGGTTTAATACTGCCTTTAAATTAATAATTTTAAAATTCACCCTCTGTGAATGTTAAGATATTAATTTAGAGGCAGTGGTGTGTGTTTTGTTCGTCAGGAAAACTGTGTAATGACGTGTGTGTGTGTGTGTGTGTGTGTGTGTGTGTGTGTACTCGGTTACATATGGTTGCAGGGGTCGATTCACAGATCCTGGTCTTCCCTCTTAACATG